TGATAAAATAAAGGTATAATGGCATAATGGTAAATAAAGTAAGGGTATAATGATAAATTTGACGAAAAAAAGTAACACCGTCAGTAGTAAAGTGACGGTGTTAACATCAAAGAGAGAGTGTGCAGTAGGGTTGTAAACAAATCAAACATTTTTGATTCGATTCGTGATTCGAATTCGATATTCGTGATTCGAATTCGAAATATTCGAATTCGAATTCGAAAGATGTTTTAGATTCGAAATTATAACGAATTCGAATTCGAATGTGTAGATATTCGATTCGAAATTCGAATATTCGATTCGTTAACAATAATTATATAATTTTACAAATTATACATAATATACATTTTATTTATAGTATATGTATATATATATATATATATATTGTTATATTCCTAATATTTTATGACATAAAAAGTAAAAACATCATAAATTAACAAATTTTTCTAAAAATGTATGAAAAATAAAATTTATTTTTCTAATTATAATATTTTTATACAAATTATATATAATATACATTTTGTTTATAATATATGTATATATATATATATATATTGTTATATTCCTAATATTTTTATGACATAAAAAGTAAAAACATCATGAATTGACAAAATTTTCTAAAAATATATGAAAATAAAATTTATTTTTGTAATTATAATATTTTTAATTATAATATTTTTTGAAAACGAATTTCGAATCGAATCGAATATGTTCGAATATTCTAAACGAATCGAATACGAATCAAAAAATGAATTCGTTATCGAATCGAATCACGAATCGAATCTTCGAATATTTTAAACGAATCGAATCGAATCTCTGGGTATTCGCTTTGATTCGATTCGTTTACAACCCTAGTGTGCAGGCAGATATATAATAGGAGGGGGTTTGACGCAATTTTTAAATTACGAGGGGAAAACGCGCAGATTTAGTATATTACAGGGGGGTTTGGTGCAATTTACCCGTTAATAAATACACTACATCTTTTCATATTCACTATTCATCTTTTTTCAAAACATCTACCTCTATCCTCATTAATGAGAGAGATTATTGGCAAATATAAAAAAAAAAGATTTTTAATTATTGTGAAACTTTTCAAAACGACATTTATTAAAAATATGAAAAAGTATTTAATATGAACTCCACGGATTTAATTTATAAATTTTATTTACACGTGCATCTCACGAGATGTACCTATGTACAATGATCCATAAAAGTCATTATAAGTTATGAGAATATTCACTTATTTTGTTACTTTATAGTCGAGATCTGTATAACACACAAGCATTAGTAAAATTAATAAATACAATTACTTGAATAAATATATAAAATGAATTTCTCTATCTTATATATGTATATTAGTGTGTAATATTCGTGACGTGACATAATTAAAATTATTGTATATATTTAGGTGAAGTGAACACTTCCATGGTGCTCATAATATCTTCGATAATATTTACATCATAAGCTTGACCTTGTTATTTTTTGAGTTTTTTTTTTTTCCTTTCCTTTTTTCTTTGCTTCGACTTTATTGATGATGGGCTCGAAGAAACGTGGTGGGATAATATGAAAAGTCACTGGTCAACAAGAGAGAGGGGTAGTAATAGTTTTTAGAAAATGTTACGGTCCAGTTACTGTACTATTTTGTCGGATGTTTTAATTATATGTGAATTCAACGATTAAAACACCCGACTAGATAGTACCGTAACGAAACCGTACCATTTTCCATAGTTTTATGTCATGGGCCGAAATAGGTCCGGCTCCAAGGGTAAGGCAACTTAGGCATGGGCCTAAGGCCTCCATTTTATTTGGGGGCTTATTTTTTTATTTTTTTTTATTATGTATGTGTGTTGGATTTTGTCTATCTACACAAATGGTCTCATTATTTTTTTAATATTATGTATTTGTGTTGGATTTTGTCTATTTACACAATACTTACACAAATGAATGAGCTAATGACAAAATATGTAATTTGTGTGGAAAATTGAGTCCCTAAATATTTCATTTGTTTTCAGAACAAGTTGTGTGAGAATAAATATTCTTTTAGTGATATAATTTTTATTTTATTCTCTCTGTTGTTCTCGTGATTGGTTGAATGTAATTTATTAAAGATCTTTGTAATCCGAAGGTAATTTATCAATTCCAAGTAAAAAAACCGCGGGTCTATTCTGTTGACCCGTACGGACGAGGCTAAAAGTGAACAATTTCTTTATGCTTGTTCCTGAAGTAGAAACTGGTTCATTTGTTCTTGCGACAAATCGACTTTCAAAAGCCCTTTTCGTGAGGCAATAGCTTACCAAGGCCATGATTAAAAACAAGAAAATAGTTTTTTTCCAATTATTTATTTATTTATTTAATATTCTCGTTTAATTTTATGATTCTATTTGCAAATAGCCCTAATTATCACGTAAGTTAAAACCAAGAAAATTCGAAAAGGAAAACTTGTCGGGGCCTTCCGAATTTCTAGAGACGACCCTGGGCCGAAGATTATTGTTAAACAAAGATAAAATTATTCAATTACCTAAAGATAATTTATTATTATCTTAGTCGAACAATTTAGATAATCAATCAAATTTATATAATAAATCAACAAATAAAAGAAAAAGAGACAGGAAAAAAGATAATATAAAAGAGAAAAACAAATAAATAAATAAATTAAAAAGAGAGAGAGAGACTTTAAATAAATAATAAAGTATCCTATAGTAATAAGAAAGCTTGAAACAATTACTTCACACTCAATACAATACAATACAATACAAGGAAGAAAGTCATATACAGAAAACCTCTCCCTTTTTCCTATTTTTCACCTCTTCTCAACCATTTATTCAGATTCCTTCACTGGTTTTTCTTCTTCCTTTTTTCTTGTTTGGATTTAAATCACACAGATACAAAAGCCCATCAAAATTTTTATCTTCATTGCTTGTGCACACTTCGGAGTTTTCAGTGGTTTTTGTAGAAATTAAGAAAGAAACTTCTATTTGGCTTGATTTATTATTGGTTCTTGTTTGTCCCTTTTCTTTTGTTCTTCTGCACAAATTTTACTGGGTTTATTGCAAACAAGATTTTAAACAGGCTAAAAAATTGTTAAGAGAGCAATAAATTCTATTCTTATCTGACAAATTGTTTTCTTGAATAGCCTTTAAAGGAGACTGGTTTTGTTCATCTTTTTTTTTTTTGTTGAATTTTCTGTTGGGTGTCTTTGCTTTGACATTAAGAAAGGATTAGAAATTAAGGGACATGGGAAAGCATGGACCTTGCTATCACTGTGGTGTTACAAGTGAGATTTTCTTTCATGAAGCATCATCCTTTTTTCCCAATTAATTGATCAAATGATCCTTGCAGTTCATTTTGTATTCTTTGAGTTTGTTCTTTGTTTGGTTTATTAATCACTCAGTTTTACTGTGAATATTCATTCACCCGGTTGAATGATGAAGTACAGAATAACAGGACACTGAACAATTACAAAAAATTTCATGGGTTGCTTTGCTTTTCATGTCACCATGTGTTTTATACTGATTCCTCTATAGTGTCTCCCAATTTCAATCTCATATTTTACTTAACCGAGTCGTAGATAATCCCCACACGAAATTCTTGATCTTGATTGTGTTTGTATATTCTATGGCTGCCCATTCTGGCTTTAAAACTCTCTTGATCATAGGTACTCTCACGTAATACGTTTCAAATAGGCGTGCGCCTGCTTAGCTATTGTAGCCAAGTTTGTTCACATGTACTATGTCTTAAATGCGAGGCGTTGATGAAAATTGGACTAGTTTGTTGTGTCATTTCATTGTTGTACATTTGTTTAACAACACTACTTGCGTTTTACTCTGTGAACATTAGGCTGATTGTTCCGAAATGAGAGTTTAAAGGCTCTCCATTTCTGATGAACTTTGACAATATCTGCTGATGCTTGCCTTTTCAGATTGGTTTTTTGAAGATATAGATAATGATTTTTTCCGCACCATGAAAATAGTTGACTGGCGGGAATCTTTTTAATCACCTGTCTTACAACTCCTGCCAAAGTATCCTTATCGACACAACATTGTTTATATACCCTCCTTATTGAACAATGTTGAGGAAGAACAAGTGCTCTTAGAAATCTCACTCGTAAGAGTGCTGATTATTGATTATGCCGGAAGTGCTATCGTGAAAAGTGTTAAAATTTAATTTTTACTTTTAACCCAAAGTTTTAAATGTAAGGTTAATGGCAATAACCATCTTCTTTGACTTTCTTCCACTGAGTGACGATGATGTGCACTTCCTTTGTACAAATGTTGAGTGCATTGTGACTCATTTCTTGCTTGTCCACTGTAAAACTTATAATTGCTGTCCCTTTTCTCTGATTTAATCTGACTTCTTATTAACAAATTTACTCGACAGGCACCCCACTGTGGCGTAACGGGCCTCCCGATAAGCCTGTACTCTGCAATGCGTGTGGATCGAGGTGGAGAACAAAGGGAACTCTTGAAAATTACACACCTCTACACGCGAGGGGGGAAACTGACGAAATCGAGGACCACAGGGTTTCGAGGGCAAAAACCTTTTCGTATAAGAACAAAGAGCCAAAGGTTCTCAAGCGAAAGTATGATAGTAATGTTAATGAATTCGGGGGAGTTCTTCTTCCTGATTATAATAATAACCAAGGATTTCGAAGAGCGTTTGATGAAGATATTAGCAATCGGTCGAGCTCGGGATCTGCTATTTCAAACTCAGAGAGCTGTGCACAATACGGCAGTGCTGATGCTAGTGATTTGACCGGTATCCATACTATTATTACAAGAAACATTCTTTTTTATTTTCACTATTTAAATAGTTATTGATCTAAAGAATGAAAATTTTTTATATTCCCTCTGTAAAGGTCCATCTCCATCCAAACCGGTTGTATGGGATTCGACAGTGCCCTCGAGGAAGCGAACGTGTTTTACTCGTCCGAAGCCTTCTCCAGTAGAGAAGCTAACTAAAGACCTTTATACGATATGGCACGAGCAACAGTCTTCATGCATGTCTGTAACCTCAGAGGATGATTTGCTTCTTGAGAGTGATAAACCGATGGTGTCGGTTGAGATTGGCCATGGGAGTGTGCTTATCCGGCATCCCAGCTCGATCGCTCGAGAGGAGGAATCAGAAGCTAGCTCGCTTTCTATTGATAATAAAAAACATGCTCCGAGTTCCCAGCATGTGCCTATGCCGAGCCTTGTTGAGGAAAAGTGTACTAATTTATCAAGGACAGGAATTGAGAAAATACCGAAGCCTTCTAATAAGGGGACAACAGAACAAGAGCGTAATAGAAGGTACATTCATGTCAATTAAACCTCAACGCCTAAAAGGACTTTATGAGAGTTTGTTTATTTGATGCTTTACAAGCCATACAGGTTTCAAATATAAAATTTTTGCATTAATATTTATCTGAGCTCTGTGATTCAATTTCCAGTAGTTGATGGGAATATACATTTCATCACCCGATTCGGGTGTCTAGAAAGTTACCACTTTTTAGTTGCTTATGTCTTTGGCATCGGGTCGAGCATTGCATAGGACTGATATTCTTGGAACGGTTCTAAATATTAGCTTAATTCAGGCAATTAATATTCTCAAATATATGATACACAATATTAGCTTATGCAATTAATATAATTTTAGGCAATCAATATTTCCAAATATTCGCTTATGAAAGTTTGTACTTAATGCTTTCTAAGCCATGCATGTTTCCAAATATATAATTTTGCAATAATATGTATCCGAGTAGTATGTGACTCCTCAATTTCCAGTAGTTGCTTATACTTGTAGTTGATACTTCTTCCTTATGTTTATATATGCGTATGTGTGTATATATATATATTCTGTACCTTGTGGTTGTTTGTATGTTGATCAGTTTGTAATTTTTTAATTTTTTTTTTTAAATTTCAGAGACAAGGATCAACCTCAAAAATTACAGATTTTGGCACATCATAATTCACCACTCGGTCACATAGACTTGCAAGTAAGTTGCTAATACATGAATTCTCGTGGTATTATTCCTTTGAGCAACTCTGAGCTAATCATCAACTGATAAATTTTTGTATGTAAATATCATAAAAAATTGAAGCCCATTTCCGCCTTCGTTTTACTTCCACTCAGTCTATTCAGTATCTGTCCATTATATAGTTTTGCACAAAAAGTGAAACATTTTCAGTGAGCTTAACTATTTGAATATGATTAGCTCATAACTAACAATCGTCGTCAGATATCTTATTTTTACTTGAAAGTATTTGTGGCTTTAACAATTAGTAACGACCGCTGCCTGTATTTATGCAGGAAATCGTAAATTTGGACAAATTAGTTACTTATTTCACAAACGATGAACAACAGCGGTTGCTAAAGCTTTTACCTTCTGTTGACACTTCAAAAGCTCTGGATAGGTGAGCATTATTCTTCTGTTGCTTACTGCTGCTGAGCATGCCGAGCATCGAAATCAGGGGACCTTATTTATGTCTTTT